ATTACTGCTACTGCAGTGACCTCTGTCTTTCTGATTCCTTCTTCTTTCTTTGTGTTTCTCTTCCTACCTCGCCTTCTGTTAGTCTGTCTCCCTATTTGGGTCTATGCCGGGGCTGGGAGTTCCAAGGGGGCAGGGCCCCGGGACCCCTAGCATTGCCAAGCCCGGGGCCTGATACATTGAAAGTACCCAGTAAAATGAACAGAAGCCTGCTCCGTGCCAAACCAGTGTTGGGCGATGCTGGGGACCCACAAGCGACTGAGATAGCCCCAACTGGGGTGACTGAGATAGCCCCAGTCCTGTCCTCACAGAGCTCACAGTCTGGGAGAGGAAGTAGTTATTTGTTGAATGGATGGATGAATGGATGGATGGATGGATGGATGAGCACATAAATGAGCTAACTTTGAGGTGGGCTTGGGATACTGGACAATATTTGAGTGGAGGCACTTGAGGCAGAGAATACTGCTAGAACAAAGGTCAAGGGCCCGGGAAGAGTCTGAAGAGCTGGGACATCTCGGAAAAAGGGCTGAAGAGGTCAGCAAGGGCCTTGGAGGCCAGGGAGAAGGAGGCCGGGCTTCCTTCTGAGGGCACTGGGGAGCCATGGCAGGTTCTGAGCTGGAGAAGGACAGGGGCAGTTCTTGCTTTAGCATGATCACTCTGGCTGCCTGGCTGTCCTATGGGAAGACGTGCAGATGGAAAGAAGAGGGTTGCGACCGGGGTGCCCTGGATCAGAACCGGGTCTAGGGGGAGCTACTAGAAACCTGGAGGAAAATGCCCAGGCCAGCCGGCTCTCCTGGACACCAGGAAAGGGGCTTCAGGGCTGGCCCGCCACCACCAGGGGGCAGCCAGGGCTACAGGTTTGAATCTCTCAGTGTGTTTTCCCAAGGTGGGGAGGTTTACACCTTGCTTTGGAGGTGGGGGGACGTTGGAGCTATCTGTGGGGCCGGCTGAGAGCCCCTCTGCTCTCCTGCCCCCACCCTGGCCCCTTGGGCCCCTGGAGCCCCCCCACCCCACCAGCAGGAGATTATGTCAATACAGCCCCGCCGCCGCTTCTAGCCAGGACAATATTTGTCCTCAGGATCTGGGGAGGTCGCTATGGAGACGGGGCTGCAGGGTGGGGGGAGCACCCCCTCCCGGAAGAGGGCGAGGGGCGCTGGGCATCTCTGCCTCATCTCTGTCTGATTGTGTCTGAGAGTTTCCCCCCAGCCTGTCTGCCTTTTCAACGTTTCTCTTTCTGAACCGTCTCTTCATCTCTGTCTCTGGATACCTGTCTGTGGGTCTCTGTCTCTCAGGCCTCATCTCTGTGGATCTCTTGCTCTGTCCTTTACTGTCTCTCTCTGGGTCCCCAGCTCTATGCTTCTCCGTGGCTCTAGCTCTCTCTGGGTTTCACGTCTCTGTATCTTGGTCTGTCTTTGGGGCTTTGACTCTGTCTGTCTCTGGGATCCCATGTTTGTGTTTGTCTCTTTAGGCCCCTGTCTCTGGATCGCTGTCCCTTTCTGCCCCTGCGTTCCTGCTTTCTCTGGATCCTGTGTGTGTGTGTGTGTGTGTGTGTGTGTGTGTGTGT